ACAGTTGCGCATGTCACGAGAACCCACAGGGTGCACGCGACTGAACGTGACCGCCGCCGCCGCCGCACGTCACGTGAAGTATTATTGCACTGGAACGAGATCTTTAGGTTTCTTGCACTCTTTCTACTACCCCCCTTAACTATGGTATCGCGTTGATAAATCGTTGAACGACGTTGAATATGGTTTTTGGAGGAATACATGCTCGCTCTCATAATTAGCTGAGCTTAGGAGTATGAATGTGCATGCGTGCAAATAGCTCCGTGCCATTGTTTCATCTCCCAGTTGGTTAGTAAATGAAATCGTCGCTGATGGTGATGAAGACTATGATTACAATGTAAGTATTTTCCTCATTAGTTGAGCTCAGGAGTTTCATAAACTAATTCGGGTAGAAATGTTATACAGAATTCCGCCAACAAAATTCCCATATATTTAAGTGTGTAGGTTGTTGGCGATTATCGTCAGTGGTGAAGAGAGTATCCCCAAGGAGCCAGAGTTGATGATATGGCCTCTTCCGAAGGCTATTATTATCAACCCGAGAACTACCACTGATAATATGGGTATTGTCATTCTTGTTATTGTTATTGTTATTGTCTTCTTCTTTTCCTCAGACCATCATCCTGCTACTGTCTACTCCTTCCACTTCGAGTTAGAAGAAGACGACCATCACGACGAGAAGAGTCCCATCATGCAAGAGGATTTGGATTTCGCAACTACTATGTTGAATCGTCGATCCTTTCAGGGTGAGCGTTGTTGTTGTTGTTGTTGTTGTTGTTGCTGTATTTTCTTCCGAAATTGTGACGTTTTATCTCACTATTTTAACTTTTCGTCATAAAAGTGAAATATTGAAATTACTGGATTTCCACCCTAGTGATATTAAAAACATATTTCACGACTACTGCATATCACCGTTTTAAATATCGCGTTTCACACCGAGTTTTACGACGCCACGTAAACTTCAACACAAGAGTTGATGTTGAATATTTGGTTATTTTCTTTCGCAGGAGCATCCCATTCAGTGAGAGTTGGAGTCAAGTATAATGATAGTCTACCGGACGAGGGGTATAGGATCACATGCACATCATCGCAGCAATGCAGTCTGCATGCAAGTTCTAGAAGTGGCTCATTGTATGGTATGGGAACGATGGTAAGGGATGAAAGTCGTCTCGAAGACATGTTGGAGTGATATGAAAAACACTAGTGAAAAACATATTTCACATTTCACTTCGCGGGAAAAATTGTATTATCGGCCAATATGAGAATTCTGAGAAAAATTTGGGGAATTTTTGTTGTTAGCCTCTGTACACTTCTACCCGAATTTATTTATAAACTCTTCTGAGGTCAGCTGATGAGGAAAGCGAACATATATTATTACTCCAACGCACACTTGTTTTTTTATCTCAGGTGCAACTTGCTCACAATAACGCCGAGGACATGCCGAAGTTATTGGATTCTGGTTTCACCATTTATGACTTTCCGTCATTCCCACATAGAGGCATGCTGATTGACACTGGTAGAAGATATTTATCAGTGGAAACTATAATAAAGAATCTTCAACTAATGTTCTGGACGAAAGTGAGTTTTGGAGTTAATGCGTCTATTATGATGTTAGATTATTATGGTTATAGTAATTTATATTGGGGTATCAGCTTCAACTGCGTTTTTACTGCATCGCGCCACCGTCATTATTTCCATGCGATGACATAATGTCGGAGTATACACACTTGTTGGTGTGAATGGAAAAATTATGAGAAAATTTTGGTAAATTCTCATTGGTTATTTCTGTACACTTGTAGCAGAATCCGCATGTAAACTCTTGCGCTTGTTGGAAATATTTTTTCCTTTTCAGATGAACGTTTTGCATTGGCACATTTCGGATGATGTGAGCTTTTCGCTGGATCTCGAAGGATACGAAAAGTTGCAATATAAGAATCCAACGCCACTCAGGTGAATAGGATGGAATTTTTGGGGAATTTTTGAGGATTTTTTGGGGACTTTTTAAGGTTTTTTCGGGGAATTTATTGTTTTAAAAGTTGCTGTTATTGTAGTTGGGAAAATATATTTTCAAAATATGCACATGATCAACTATACGTGTTGGTGATGACAATATGGAAATTATGATGAAATTCTCTCTTGGTTGCTGTATTACACTAGGCCTTCGTGACGAAGGGGCGGAGCTCACTGAGTCCACGTCCATGGACTCAATCAAAGAATTTTACATAGGTCCCCGGTTCAATCCCCGGGTAGGACATTTCTCCATCATTAAAGTTTTTCGTGCATATCTCTTCGAGCTGTTCGCATAATGGAGCTTTCTGATTTTTCCCAACATATAGAGGGGTAGCTCCGCATATAGAGGAGTAGCTTGACATATCTGATAGCCTCTCACGCCTCGTAGTTAAGCCAGAATAATTCTGCATGCACGCACGCACAACGCGAAAGTGCCTGTTGTTGCGGTATATGCTCCGTTCGCTTCGCTCGCTCCGCAACTTTTACCCGAATTCGTATATACACTCTTGAGCTCAGATAATGAGGAAAGCAAACATAAAGTCCTCCAACAGTAAATTTGATCCTTTCATAAAGATATCGTATTTGGTGTTACAAATAATACGTATCGGTATGATCGACTCAAGTTTCACGGCCACCCGTTTTACGTGAGGCGGCGTAATACTTCGTGTGAAACCTCTAGCCTCCAAGTTGTGGCAGGGCGCGTGTCGACTCACGAGTGCAAACTGGGAACTGCGGAGGATGACCCGCAAGGTACACTCAGGATAGTAAGCTTTTGTCGTAAGCCACTTGCTACCTGGAGTGCCCCTAGGACCCCTACATCGGAGACCTCGGTTAAAAAAATATCACGCTTAACACATACACTACTCCAGGTTGTCAAGGCAGTCTGGCTTGTGTGACTAGCTTGGCAGCTTGAAGGACTCACGTTGTCTCTTTGTGCCGGCAGCGATTGTGTCAATCGCTGTTTCAAACCAGGCTTCGCCGAAAGACAACTCTCTGGCACGGTTTTAACCGCGGAGAAGCTACGCTTCTCCTAAGCATGAAATATCTGATACTCGCGATATGTTGTGAAATGTGGAATATATTTTTAAGTGAGTTAAGGGCCTGTCAGCGCCAACGCTTGACACGTTAAAATGCAGAGATACTTGAGCGAGGATTCGAACCTCGCACAGGATTTTGCGCAGATCGTCATCGATTCCGTGATCGATTTAGAGTTAGCTATTCACCGGCAAGTTGAGTTGCCAGAGCTCAATTCATTTTTTCCCTTGCCCATCCCGCCCGGAAGTCAATTGGCTCAAAGGCTTCAGGCAGAACAAGTCCGAGGACGTACGCTACGCAGACTTAGACTGTTAGTGGTTTGAGGCTCCCCAGCTCCCCTAGCGAGCGTAGACTCAGTATTACCAACCATGAGACTTTGAGAATGGTAAAGGAAAATATGTTCTTAACTCTCGTATATCCTACTCCCAGGCTATAGCTAGCTCAGCTCGGATCCACCGCGCTAAGTCTTTGTGTACTGCTGTCTCAGGGACTCTGTCCCTCTACACACTTGTTCGATCGCTGCGCACAGTGCTTCCAGTGCATGAACCCAAAACCTCTATACAGGCTTCAAGAATCCCGCTGTGAATGCACCAAGTCTATCAAGGTGCAACCAGCGAAAGGTCGCTTATCGACTCATATCAGCCTTCAGGGATTGGATTCTAAGCCAGACCCGCGATAAGTCCCGACTCCAGTGTTCGGGCTGCGGGTTTAGAGGTTTAAGGTTTAGGGCTTGGTGCACTCCTATCACCTCTCGGCTTCTCTCACTCTCTTCCCACGGTTCACGAGATCCGAGCGTTTGGTAGATTTGTATTTTATTACTAGTGTTTTTCATATCGCTTTATTTTCGGCTGTATGCAGATACTCGGCTGATGATATGAAGAGGATAGTTAAGCTCGCTAATTTGCTGGGCATAAAAGTTATTCCAGAAATTGACGTTCCTGCTCATACGACTAGTTGGACGAGAGGGTGAGTACTTTTTTCATGTTTGTGGCGTTTTCTCATTTCCATGGAGTTCATCCTAGTGATGTGAAA